ACTGACCAGGGTAAGGATGGAGGGAAAGAGAATCAGTTACACAATCACAACATCACATGCTTCAGCTTAAATAAAGAGCCAAGTGTATGTTAAGGTAGTAAGTGATGTGGAGGACTTGAAACTCCTACTGGAGAGGAATAGGATGAGGAGAAAATAATGAGAATATAATAGTTACAGTGGCAGAAAAATGAACCATAACGTTTAACAAAGTGCTTCTTCAAGAAGAAACCAGATTCATGGGATGGAAGCAGCTTGTTAACTGAAAACTTCCCTGAGTTTCCTGCATGTAAGAGCCACACACATTACAGTTCACTTGAGAAGAAAGGACTAAGGCACAGATAGGTTTGGCATAATTAGTAAATTATGCCACTAGAATGAAAGTCTTAACCTTGACAACATTATGCTAACTGAAAGAAGTCAGTGGCAAAAGCCAACGTATATTTAAAAGTCCATTTATATGAATGTCTGGAATAGGCAAATGTCTAGAGACAGAGATCAGATTAATCAACCTAAGCTGGGGAATGGAGGATGAGTGCTCATGGGTGAGAGTTTTGTTTTTTAGGGTGAAGATGCTCTAAAATTAGTGATGTCTGCACAGCCCTGTGAATACAGTAGAAATCACACAAATGGGCAATTTAAGTGAATTACATCTCAATAAATCATAAAAATTAAAATAAAAAGTTCCTGCAAGAATACTGGCAATAAAAACAATGCAACCACTTGGGGGCAGACAAGTCTGAGCAAAATGCCAGTCCCCAACTTTGATGGAACTGCCACATCATGTCATCTGCATAACCATGTTCTGGACACCATCACCCAAGGCTTCTCTCTTGTTATAAGGCCCCTCTAGTCCTGCTGCCTCCGGACTTTTCCATACCTGGATCTCATCCTCACTGCAAAGCTCCAAGAATCAGGTGAGGGAAAGGAGACAATACATGGAGGGGCAGTGCCACACTTTGAGTGACAGTACCATGACAATGACACAACCCAGTCTGTTCCTGTTCCTGATTTCTGTCTGTGATTGGAAATAGGAGGCCTTATGGGAAGACCTCAAACTGATTCAGAAACTATACGCCAGTAAAACGTGGTAGCATGTACCTCCCAATTACTTAGGAAGATTTCAAATTCCCCACCAGCTGGGAAACACAGCAAAACCCAAAGGGTAAGGGAGCTAGGGGTTTAGCTCAGTAATAGAGCATTTGTCTGTGTGTGTGTGTGTGTGTGTGTGTGTACCTGGGTTGGATCCCCAGCACTGAAACAGTGACAATAAAATCCTCTCATCGTATTAAAAGCCATCTCTGTAGATGTCCGAGAGTTGGTTGTTAATTCTCATCTGACTTCATTTAATGATTAATTAAATTAATCAATCAATTAATTAATTAATGATTAATTAATTAATTAATTAATTAATTAATGATTAATTAAGATTAATGGGGTATGCATGCAGTACGCCATAGGTCCTTTTGAGAAATATCATCAAGAATCTCAACAAGATGACTTTCATCTTGACTCCCCAGGACCAGACTCCTTCACCTAGTGAATGCATATGGAACACACAGCCTGGAATACCTCACCCTCCTGTGTGGGGTCTTGTTGAGATATGGAGTCAGGGTGGCTAGTTTGGGGAGATTTACTTTTCTAACCAGCTCCCAGATGGGGCCCATGCTTCCACAGAGAAGCTCAAGTTAGTGAGGCCACGATGGGCGTCCCGTAGAGAATTTCAGTGGTGGGACAGAGTCTTGGGGATGGAAAAGATAGGGAGAAATCTAGGACTAAGGAGCAAGAAGTCTACAAGTATGTCTCCAAGAAAGCTGAACATCAATGGTCCATGCAGGACAATCTGGGCAGGGCCTCCCAGGAAGCCAGATTTCCTCAGGGCTGTGGGCTAAATACCATGGTTTTTGTTCAGTGTTCCTGGGACGCTGCTGATGAAGACATCTGAGTGTGGAGGTCAGAATGGGACTTGCCCCTCTGTCCCATTCAAAGAAAATGATGAGGTCGATGATAGACATAAACAAACCTTTAGCCGGAAGCAGACTAGCCCCAGAGTGACTTCTGCACAGATCTCAAAGCGGGAATCCTGGCGCACCAAAGACTCAAACTTTTGAGCCAGCTGGACGTGCTTGAGAGAGAGAGGGGGAAAGGTGCTTGAGTTTCTCATCATCACTGAATTCAAAACTTAACCATCTAGAAAACCCTATTAAACTGCACATCCATAATTCATTTACATACTCTCTGCAATTTTCTTCAAGTGTTTGTGCTGTCCCCTCACCAGCTGTTCCCAAAGAAACTCATTCATTACTATGAAGAAAGGCTTAATGTCCTCAGAAAAAAAAAAAACACCATTTTCTTCTGTTCATGGGGCTATTTCTACACCCTTGCCCCTGAAAAATCTGTCTTTTATAATTTTATAACAAAATTGCAAAGAGGTGCTGGAACACTGTAGAAGATATAAAGGCTAACCTTCATCTACCACTTCTTCCTCATGACAACTCACAACATAGTGATGGATACTGGTTTATACCCATTTTCCAGTTAAGGAAACAGGGTCAGAGAGTTAACATGCCCAATATCCTATTGCCATGCCTTCTGAGCTAGGATTCGAATGCAGCTAATATGAGACTTTCAGTTCTGCGGTTCGTGTGGCTCTAGTTCCATGGTGCTTGCCCCTGAGACACAGAAACCACACATACACCATCACATTCAAGAGCTGCCTTCCTGTCACTGAATAAGGTTGATGTCAACCTGATTTAACTCCTAGATGTTAAGAACTCAAAAACTGATTCGAATTATCTGTGATCCATGGAGAAAAACCTCTCGCGGATTAGGAGTTCTCCTTCATTCAGAACCTTGAGCATCCAGCGCGCTTCTGGTCACCATCACGTGGTAAATGCACCGGAGGAGCTCTGCGCAAGTTCTGGACCAAAGCTTGTTGGGAAATAAGCAATCCCTCTTATGACCACCAGAGGGCGCCAAAGACTTTGGACTCAGGTATCCCCAAAGCAGGCTCTTGCCTAGGGAGAAGGTTTTGGTCCAGCCCTTTCCCACATTCCTGCTAAGGTAGGACTGGGAATCCTTTCAAAAAGAGGCGTGATGTGTTTATAACATGAGGCAGCATAATCACAGCTCATTGTCCTTGGGCTTATGGATGAAATCATTGTGGATAGATAAGCCACTAATGTTTTAGCCTTCTTTCTCCAAATAATTTGAATTCAATTCTCCTGCTACTTTTCTCAATTAAGAACATAAGATACATTATTTATAAATTCATACACATGTTCCTTTTCTAGGTTTTTTTTAACCATATAGACTCTCATAGTGCTTGATGCTCCATAAATTTTCTTAGAATGGGCTTGAAGCAGACAGGTACCAGTTTGTAGCTTCAAGAATTTAGCAAATGCTTGAAAATAGATGCATTTCTGCATCTCTGTCACAGGGAGGACCCTAACATATCTGACCCCTGCCCTTAGCTGCACAGTTGGTGATGCAGCAGCACCAGGACTTAAAGTTAAGCATTGTCATATCATTAGGGTTAGAAACTACAGGCATGCCTTTCCTGTGAAGCCTGGGGACTTTTGACCATCAGGATGAGGCCTTGGCTTAGAAAGGATCAGAATAAGGAAGGACCCAGCTTGAAGTCAGCATGCCTCCTGCATCTGGCAAACTGGGTGGGCCTTAGGCAAGTCCTGGTTCATATTCAGGCCTCAGTTTCCCCAGCTGATGAACAAAAATGGTAGAGTAGTGGGATTTGAAGTAGATCAGTGGTTGTCAAATTTAAGTGCATATTATGTGACTAGACTGCTTGTTAAAGCAGGTTGCTGGGACCTGCCGTAGGCCACTGGCACCTGCCGTAGGCCACTGGCACTGTAGGTCAGGAACTGTGTTTGAGAACAATTGGTGTAGATGGTATCTATTCCACACCAACTCTAAAATTCTCCTATTTTGGCAATCTTCTGAAGAAAAACACATTATATTCTCACTTTTGCTTCTTTGCTCACTGAAACTCACTATGCCAAAAGTACAACCTACATAATGTTTTTACTTTGACCATTGTTATGTTTTGAATGTGAGATGTCCCCCAAAAGCTGATGTGTGAGACACGGCAAGAAGGTTTGGAGGAGAAATGATTGGGTTGTGAGAGCCTTAACCCAATCAGTGAATTAATCACCTGATGGGATTAATTGAGTGGTCACTGAAGGCAGGTAGGGTATGGTTGGAGGAGGTGGGGCAATGGGCGTATGGTTTTGGGGTATATATTATTTGTGTCTGATAAGATATCTCTCTTTCTCTCTCCCCCTCCCTTTCTGATCATCATGTGAGCTGCTTCCCTCCATACTCTTTTACCATGATGTTCAGCGTCACTTTGAGTCCTGAAGGAATAGAGCTGGCTGTCTATGTTCTGAGCCCTCTGAAACCAACCATCAGCTCTCAAATAAACGTTTCCTCCTCTACAATTGTTCTGGTCAGGTCTTTTAGTCACAGCAGTATAAAGGCTAACTAAAACAATCATCACCCTGGAGCTGATAACCTGTAATCCTAATAGAGGTGTCCTCAAAGATCCATAATTGTGCATTCGACAACCCAAAGTACAGTTTGCATCCTTTACCATATACAGCCCCAATCTGTGTAGTGACATTTCAGTCAACAATGGACCACATGTGCCATGGTGGTTCCCATGGACTGTATCTTCCAACACGGTCCTAGTCATCCTAGTTTGTGCAAGTACATTCTATGATGTTGGCACAATGACAAAACCACCTAATGATGCATTTCTCACAACCTATCCACGTTGTTAAGTAATGCGTGCTTGTATTTACTTACTAAGACATCTGAATTCATTTCTAAGTCCCCTAAGCCCTCCATAGTATTACTGAGATAAAGAATGAAGACAGTACCTTGCGGATATGAGCCTGCAGTCCTTTGACTCCATACATTCTAAAGACAAACCACAATTTCAAAGAGCGGAATCTTCGACCCAGTGGGATCTGCCAGTGCTGAAATAAAATATAATATGGGGTATCAGTGCTTCCTTTCTAACCCACTGGTTGGCTTGTTCTCTTAAAGGCAACTAGTTCCCTGTGTCTACCCCACTCTGGCTGCACATTTTCCATCCTGGGGTATGAGCAGGGGGGCCACAGAGGGAGGCTGCCTTTGCAAAGCTCCTCTGAGGGAAATGAGGACAGGGATTATTGACTTGGGAGGCATTGATGATTATTGTTTTCACTCAACAAATGTTTGCTGAGTTCACACCTGTTCTGGGAAAAAGGCTCGTCAGCGAGCTAACAGGAAAGATGTGGCCCTGTTTCTAGGAAGCTTACCACCAGTGGGGGCAAGCAGAGTTTTGCACAGGTGTCTCTGTCTGCAGGGATGGAGAAAGCTGAAACCCACATTTGTCTGCCATATGCTTCCCATGATGTCCTGACACTGTTTTCTAGACCAATACTGACTCCTTTCTTATCTCAGTGGCTGCAGGGGAGTGACCCCCAAGACCCCTCTACTGAAAGACATAGCATGTGTCCATGTGTTGGTCCTCAAAGAAGTGTTCCCTCTGCTTTCCCTTGAATTTCCAGACTTTCCTGGCTGACTGCACTTTGCATCCGGTGTGACTCTTGGAAGGTTGAAAATGTAACAAAGTAAGTTGGAAAAGGACAGGGAAGAGAAGGATGGGCAATTCCTGAAGACCGTCTGGTAGCATATCATGGCTTTTTTTAAAAAAACATTAATATTCTATGAGAACTTAGCAAGATGCTGATGGCAACTCTTTTGTATCTTCTCTTCCTTGAGGAATGAGAGAGGGCCCCCTGCTGGGGTGAGGAAGGACCCCCAGACTCACTGGGACTGCCTGTCACCTGGGGCTCCAGAGAAGCTCAGCCTAAGCCCAGCACGGCTCCTGAGTGGAAGGGCATAGGTGTATTTTAAATACAGTCACCCGCCATGCACTGGGGACACGTTCCAAAATCCCCAGTGGAGGTGTGAAACCACAGATAGTACTGAGCCCTACATATTCTGTTCTTTCCTGTACATGCACACCTGTGATAGTTGAATTTAGAAATTAGCCTCAGAGAGAGACAGATTAACACAATGACTAAGAATAAAACAGAACAATTGTAACAGTATGCTGTAATAAAAGTTATTTCAAACTTACGAATTGTTATTTCTGGAATTTTGTACTTAACAGTTTCAGATTGCCCTTTATCATGAGTAACTGAAACCACAGAAAGTGAAACTGTGGTTAAGGGGGAATGACTACAGAGTGTGTAAAATGAATGAAGAGCAGCCATGTCCAAACTGGAAAAGCTTCTCAAGTTGCAAAGAGAAACATGGACCCAATAGCTAGGCTCAGAAGTGATTACAGTGGTTTCCCTCTGATTTTATGCGGGACACTGTGCTAAGTGTATTCACACTTCATCACATTTCATCTTCCTAACAGTGCTATGAAATAGGGGTTCAGATCTTCCCTTTATGGGATGGAAAGCAGGCACGGAGGATGAGATGTCTAATGTCACCAACCTAGAATGTGGCAGAGCTGGAACCGTACCTGCGTACACACAGCTGTTTGTGATTTAACCATGTGTCTGCAAGCTGTTGGGAGGTTCAGGAAGAATTAGGCTAACTTACCTTTTTGAAAAATCTAAAAGAGGAACCTCTCACCACACAACTAACAGCCAGTGAAGCAATGGCTCCCTGCCATTGTTCAGCACGGAGGTGGCGTTCCAAAACCATCCCTTGCCAAGTCAACCTCCTGACAATCGAAATGTGATTTAAGTCCAACGTTTGGAGGAAAAACAAGGCAAACGTAATTTTTATGACACTTGAGTGAAAATGTGCACAGTTTTATTGTTTGCTCATTCAAACGTGACTCCCTAATGCCTGTACTGCCTCTCTGAGCCTGACACAGGCCTGGATGAGATGTCCCCGCCCACCACTCCTTTTCACCTGCATGAGACTAGAGTGTAACTCATCAGGAGGGCTGTGATTTCCTGTGCAATCAGCCTCACCTCCTGCTAGAATGTAAGTTCTGTATAAAGGGACTCTGTCTAGTTTGCTACTTTATTCCTGGCCCCAAGCCCAGCACCTGGTCTGACTCAGAGCAGCCCATCCTCACCTTAGGGAATATTGTTGACTTATATACTGAAGCAATCAGCAAGAAAATCCCTCTACCTTCCCACATGGGTCACCCAAAATGACTCTGCATGTGGAAGTCAGTTTGTATTGTCTCTTAGGAGGTGGTGGGGATGGAACCCAGAGCCTTGTGCATATGGGCAAGCACTCTAACACTGAGCTATACCTCTGGTGCTTCGATGTGAGTCTCCAGACATTAGTCATCTATTTCTTGGGACATTCTTCCTCTATGATCAAAAATTTAAAAACCAGTACACTGAACCACTCTTGGTAAGCTACCAACATGACCAGTAGTTGCAGTTTCCTCATCCAAATAGTTTGGGGAAAGGTACAGCTCAATGGGATGAGCTGGTGACCTGGGTCCTATGTTTTTTCTTTCAATTGGGTTCTGAAATTTCTCTAACTTTTTTGAACCTCTATCTCCTCACCTATGCAATGAGCATAAGGATACCCACTTTGCCCATAATCATGTAAATTTTGGGCAAATGATGCTATCCTTACCTCTTTGGTCTTCAGTTCATAACCAGAAAGAATGCAAAATGACTTTGCCAAACCATATGTCCTGAACAGCCACCTCTTAGATCTAACACTGTCTCCTCATGCCCTCATTCAGTGGTGGGTCCACAGACCTGCCTCACCCTGTTCACTTCTGTCATCCCTCACTTCCCTGACTAGCCCAGTGGGCAACATTCTGTCCTGGGAGTCCTTTCCCCTGCCTGGTGGCTCTGATGGTCTTCAGTTTGGTTTTCCAGTCTCTGAAAGAAACAATGATATCATTCATGTTCATATCTCCCTGTCATGCCCCTATTCTCATATACCCTGGTCTTTCTCCCTGGCATACAACTGGATGGTTCCTGGAAAACTTCACCAAAACTCTGTCCTAGGATAAACCATGATGGCTTGGGAAGGCTTCCTGGTCCCCTGCACTCCCAGCTTGTAGCTACTACAGGAAAAGGAAAGGAAAAGGTATGCCTTTGAGGCACAGCCCCTGCTAGCTTATCAGCTGGAGACATGCTGGCCCTGACAGTTCAGCCACATAACCTCTGTCAGGACAGCTAAGCCCTTGCCTTGATGACATCTTAAGCCCACCACAAAAAGAATCGGCTCAGATCACCTCTGAGTTGACACAAAAAGAATTGGGTACAAGTCATGAGGGGGAAGCGGCCAATGCTGTGACCCTACCTCTTTTCTCCTGAGTGTCCCCAGCTCCTACTCAAGTGATAAGTCTCCAAACTCTATTTATTGTTTCAAATACCTTTCCAGAGTAAGGCTAGGACAACCCAGTATTTTCAAAATAAACTTTATGGAACACTGTGTCAAATAAAAAGAAGAGAGAAGCAAAGCAATTTGAGGCAAGGATTTGAGATAACTGTCCTTCTGTCTGAGCACCTTTGCTGGTATCTGTGTATTCTCTCACTCCTCAGGATGCCACCTCAGCAACATAACTGCAACAAAGAAAGAAGGGGCTGCATTGTCTCAGGAGAGAGAGCCTTCCTTCCAGAGGAATAGGGGTGCAGAAGTTCCTTCCCCCTGTCTAAGGGTGCATTCAAGGTTATTCTACCTAACCTGGAACCCCTGAGTAGTGAGCTCAGCAGATCCACCCAGTGCCTGACAGAGCCCACCTGATTGGTCAGTTGAGACCCAATTAGAAGGTGCTCTGCAGAGGAATCCTGCTCAGGAGAGTGAGGGACAGCATGCCATTCACATTTTGGATTATAATGGACCTAGTTTGATGAGACAAGTTGTCCACTTACCCTGTAGTCAGTGATAAGCCCTGGAGAAAAGAGAAAGAAAAAGAAACCATTAGACAAAAATGTTAACATACATAATCATTTTCATCTTCAAGGTATATTTCTGTATCACAAACACAATCTTTTGAGGCAGATGTAAAACTGCTTGAGGGTTGACTGGGCCTGGGAGTTCCCTGTGGCACATCTCAAGGTAACAGATTCCAAGGGAGTCCTCTGAAAGCACTATGTTCAGGATGCACATTGAAAATGCTGAATTATTAATGAAGCACCATTAGTTTTGTTTTCTGCAGTTGCAGAAGAATGGAAAGCTGAGATTTCATCTAGCGCCCAGTAGTAAGTTACATTCAAATCATGTAAATCATTCATCATCCATTCATTCATGCATGGGAAGGTGAATTGGTGATTCAAAGAGTGATAAAAATAATAAAGAAAAAAATGGAACCTGATGGGAGTATTCATCTCGGTATTCACAGATCTAGTTCAGCATCTGACGCACAGCAGATGCTCCATGAATATGTATCTAACGAGTCAGTTTCCTCATTCTGGATTCAGTGGCTCCACATTGGTTATAAAAAAATGGATGTTTTGAACTTTAATCTTCCCTCACACCTAAAGCAATACATCCCAGGATCACATGGGAAAAGTACCCTGGGTGAGGACTCAGATGAGTTTCTACAAGTAACCCTGTCAAAGGATCAGGTAAGAGTTATAAGGATATGCAGTAGTAGCTACACCTCTTGGTAGAGGAGTTACGAGCTATGGAAATCTTTTCCACCAACGTAGACCAGGCAAGGCACATTGTAGGCATCCCCTATTTCCTGTGCAATATCGACTGCAGAGTGGTTGTAGCAGAACTTCACCATGTTCAGCCAGGACAAGCAACCTAATAGAACCCACATCCACTACAAAGGAATGTCCACGCTATATTTACAAGAAATCTGAAGTCATTCCCTGACTGCATCTGGTTCCCTGGAAAGACCAGGTATTTTTCTCAGCTAGGATAAGAATGGCAGTGTTGGAGAAAAATGTAGGACCATCAGTATCAGTCCCTTATTTAATGATTTGGAAGACCCTGATATGGAAGCCCACAGTCACATAGCCTGTCTCAACTCCTGCCCAATTCTCTCATTCCTCTATACCCTGTGGTCTCTCATTAGTAACAGAGTTCTTAAATAAATAAAACATAGTAGCAGAGTCATCAGAAGGAAACTGACAGTGATTCACAGAGGCCACGGTACTTGGCATGTTGTAGATACTCAGAGAACTTGTTAAATACCCAGATGACTGTCATAAATAAAAAATGAATAAATGAGTTTATATGACTATTCTATCTAATATGGTAGCCAATAGCCACATGTGGCTATTGAAACTTTAGGTAGTTAAAACTATAGAAAATTTTAAAAAGTAGTTTTTTAGTGTGATGAACCACATTTCAAGGTTTCACCTGCCACCCTTGTCTACCATATTGGACAGTGCAAAATTATAGAATGTTTCCTTTACTGTAGAAAATTTTATTGTACAGTGCAACTTGTAGTTTCAAAGATAAGGATTCAGACACAGCAGCTAGTATAGCAAAACACCATTGATGAAAGATGGAATTGGCTTCTCAGTGAATCTGCTTTCTTCTTTAAGGACTCCTTGAAGAACTGGCTCAACTTTGGAGCTTCCTTGAACAATCATTTACTGTAAACAATAATGAATTCCTCTAAACCATTATTTTCCCATGACAATGATCTTACTTACACTTACACTGTCTTAAGAGCTTAATGTGTCTTAATAGGTCTTATGTGCCTACTGTCATTTATTTATTTATTATTTTATTGGTTCTTTTTAGCTAGACATGACAATAGAATTTATTTTTACATAATTATAAAAGCATGGAATATAATTGGTTCTAATTTGGTCCCCAGTACTTCCCCTTCCTTCCTCCCACTCCCTTTTTCCTTCTCTCTACTCTACTGATCTTTCTGCTATTTACTTATAGTTATTTTTTGTTAAATTAGTGACTTGTGAATGTACATGATGGTGAGATTAAAACTTCATAAGATATATGTGGTGTGAGCAGCTTATAAATTTCAAATGATGTATAGATAAAACAGTAAAACTAAACAAGGCATAAAAGAAGACTTGCTGAGAAATACAACAATATATCAATAATGTTGGCATTTGAGTGGTTGGATTGTGAAATCTTCTGGCTTAGCATTGACTGTTTTCTGTTTTCCAAATATAAACCTTTAATAATTAAGACTATCTGAAAAGCCTGTGTAACAGGAGTGAACACTTTCCCTTCTCACTAGAATTCTGACAGAACTTTCTGTTATAAAGAAAACTCTCATTTATTTTGACTCTAGCTCAATGTCTTCCACTAAGCATCTGTGGACACTGATTTGTTATCCAAGGGGAATTGTTCCCAGGACCTACTGTGGGAGTCAAAATCTAAGGATGCATAAGTTTCTTACATAAAATGGCATAGTATTTGCATATACCCTACATACATCACCTTGTAGACTTTAAATCATCGGTAGATTACTTATCATATCTAATACAGTGTAAATGCTATGTTAATATTTATACTGTATTTCATAGGGAATAATGTCAAGAAATAAGTCTGTAATTGCTTTGTTCAGGTGCAATTGTTTTTGTTTTTGAGTATTTTTTATTCACAGTTGGTTGGATTAGTGGAGCAAGACCTATGGCTATGTAAGGCCAACTCTACTGGCCCGGGTGAGCTGAGACCACATGTGTGAAGTGCAGCCTTAACACGGGGGTTGATCATCGTCCTGGTAACACCTGCTGCTGGGTGTGCTCCATTCACTCAGCTCCTGTTGGAGATGTGAACAGGATGGCAAGGCTCTTGCTTGCAGATGTAGTGTTCTGGTGGGCAAGATGAACAACAGACAAGAAACCAGGGAGCTATATGATTGCAGCTGGAGACAAGATCCAGGAAGAGCACAGAGTGACCTGAGGCTGCTGAGACAAGGGCCCTGTGGCCATGGGAAGGCCCAGAAAGACCTCATCAAGGAGAACACATCCATCCTGAGGCCTCTGGAGAATGTCCATGCAGGGACCAGTTGAGGGTGTTGTGTATAGAAAAGGGACAGGCTTCCAGGGCCAGGCAGAAAGCCAGAGTGTGTTTTTCCACAGAGCCTTGCAATGGAAGGAAGACCAGGCAATACATTATCATCTTTTCCTAAGGCCAACCTGTTTGCTGGGAGGCAAAAGTCTTAGTTTGCTGCCATTTTGGCTGGCAGACATTGGCGCCTCTGCCTTCACTTCTGTTACACTGCTCAGTGCTCTACCCAGGGACCAAAATTACATCCTTTTCCAGTCCAGAGTTTATTTCCTCCCCCATAAATTGAAGTGGTGGGATCAAGTGTTCTGTAAGGTTCCTTCTCTCACTAATATTTTATGGTTCTGTGGACCCAAGAACGCTTGAAGATAATAGAAGTTCCCCAAGATGTGGCCTGTCATTCACTCACTAATTCACACCCTGTGCTGCATCAGGCCCCAAGATAGCCCACACACAGGCACCAAGCTGGCAGCAATGAGAGATTTCAAAAGGAATGAGAAAATTGATCTGCCATCAGGAGGTGCTGTGTCTCAGGGAGAGATACATATGCAACTACCCTCATAGGTTGATTAAAAGTAGCATAATAATTCACTGGAGGGTGTTGGCTTAGGTTGCTCTTACACATTTTACTTGACCAGGATCTCAAATGATCCCTAAAAAAACAAAACAAAACAAAACAAACAAACAAACAAAAAAAACTTACACTAAAAGATGTATTCCTTTAATGTGGTATAACAATGGCTGGATCCTTCTGAAAGTGCCCAGTAATAGAAGTGGTGATAATAAACACCCTTATTTCTGACCTCAAAAGAATGTTTTCATGGTAGTACAGCACTCAATGTGATGATGATATATGTATTACATTTCTTTAATCGGTGAAAGTATTATTTTATTCCTCCTTGGGTAAGAAAATGCTTTGTTCAACAGTTAAGATAATAAATGTATAGCAATTTTATATTTTTAATAAAGTTGTGTTCTTTTAGAAATCCTTAAAATTTCAATAGGTAGGCAACACAGGCACCAGGAAGGGTATTTCTGGCTGAAAGGAAGTTACAGGGAAAGGAAAAAAAGACAGTTTGGAGTGGTTGAAGACAACTGAGAAGAAATGTTAAAGGAGACCAGATGGGAATAGAAGGGGCATGAGCCCTGGTACACATGGGGCTGTACCAGGCAGGCTCAGTTAGGATGCATGGTTAAGGAAGGATGAACACAGCCACAACTAACCAAGACCCAGGGATCCTGTCTCTGAGTGATGGAGAGGAAACCAAAAGGAGGAGAAGACTGAAAATGACTAATGGTGAGCTGAGTCTCCTTGCTGTCAGGGGTCCACTGTGCATAGTGCCCTGTATTTAGGGATCATGTAGGTGGCTTTCTGTGCTGCATGTATGAGCCTTGACATTTAAGGATAATATTGCTAATGATTCTGTTTTTGAAAGCATAGAGAAAATTGAGAGCATTTACAAATAATTGCAGCATCTCGATGTGAGCACTGTGAACATTTTGAAATTTTCCACTCCACACATTTTGGTGTTGCTGAGGTCATTCTCATCATTATCAGACTTTAAACGGCACTGCCTTTCAGGGAAATTTGGATTTCCACATCCTGGGTGCCCTCTCAGAACCCTGCTGTGCTAACTCGTGATTTGGCATTTGATTGTGGCCTATGAACAAGAGTAGTAATTGTATAGAACATGATGTTTTATGTTTTGTAGGAATTCTGCTGCCTTTTAGAAATGCTTTTTATGAGAAGGCATGGAGGCATCTCTGTTGTAAGAAAAGTTCTAACCCTAAACCACTGTAATGGTCTCATAGGAATAATAATTCTCAAAGGTATGTAAAGCCTTTGTCCTCAGGATAACACTGTAAGAAGGTGCTGTGGGCCTTTTAGAGGTGGAGACTCAAGGGAGTCTCTTAGGTTATTGGGGGTGTGCCCTCAAAGGGGAGTGTGGCATTCTGCCAGTCCTCTCTTTCTCTCTTTCCCTCTCTCTCTCTCTGCTTCCTGGCTTATGATGTGGGCACTCACTATACTGTGTGCTCATCACCTTCCTCACTGGGTTATGCAGGCACTGGGTCTTTGTCACTACTTCTGTCACCAGTGTCTGGCACAGAGGGCCTGCCATTAAACAAGTGACATGCATATTGGTGTACTGAACCTTCCCAGGGCTTTGTCATATTTTTTCTTTACTCTCCTCCCCTGTAGAATCTTCTTCATTTACTTTCTTCCCTCCTCTTGGAAGGCATGAAAATTCTTTTTTTGGAAAGACGTTAGAGCAGACATTTTGTAAAGGTGTTTCCTTATTAACAGGAAGTATCTGTACCTATACTGAAGTCCCCTGGCTTCACCACTGGCTCCAGATGCTGCTTCTGCCCCAGTCCTGATCAGTGCTGGCTCCATAGATGGGTTAAGGGCTCTTTGGATTTCCCAGCACAAAAAAGAGATGTGAGGGGCAAGTACAGATACACACAGCACCCAACCACTCTGGTGTCTCCCCAGACTCCTGGCTCTTAGATCCTTCAAATGCAGCTTTGATGAAAACATATGTGGGAACAGATTGCAAGAGCAAGCACCCAACTTACCTGAATCCTGATGGCTGTGCTTCAAGTAAATAGGGTCCAGTTTAAAGGCTCCTGTTAAGTCTGTTCTCTTTTTCACCCTGGGTTTAGAAGAAAGAAATGATAGGGCTCAAGATGTAGGATTTTGGATTGGTCCATGTTGTCTGCTGTCCCCTTGTGGCTCTGCTTAGGCACCTGCCTCCAGGGCCCTCTCTGGACATATTTCCGTATATACATGGCCTCCTCTGTCCCCATTTCCCTGGTCTCACTCCAGCCCAGCATGCACCACTTCCAGAAATAGGGAGAAGGGGATAGAAAAATAAATAAATAAATAAATAGTAGGTTTTGTTCCTGGTTCTTGGCACACAGCTCCTAAAAGTTTGGTGGTGATAAGAGTTTGGTGAGATGACTAATGGCTGGGGATCCTACATAGTTTCAGATGGGGACTTCTCGCCAAAAAACTCATGGCATAAACTGACTCAGGTCAAACTTTCAGGCCCCCTCTTCAGTCTCTGGGGAAGGAAGATGGATTGGAGACTGAGTTGGTCATTTTAATCAATCATGCTAAGTAAGGAAATCTCTGTGAAAAAGTCCTGAAAATCAGAGGCCTAAGAGTTTCTGGGTTGATTGACATTTTGAGGTGCTCTCTTTCCAGAGACGATGTGGAAGTTCCAAACCTAGTCCTCTTCCCTGCCTGGTTCTACACTTTGTCCTGTGCATTTACTCATTGCCTGTTCATTTGTAACTTTTATAATAAACCTGTTAACATAAGTAGAACATTTTGTTGAGTTCTGAGTTGTTCTAGCAATTTATCCAACTCAGAGTGGGGGATTATGAGAACCCCCAGCATCAAAGCTATGTTGGACAGAAGGGTGCTACTCGGGGGGTCTGGTTTTTTGAGACTGGTACTTGAAATTGAAGCCATCTTGTGGGGCTGAATCCCAAAACCTGTGGGGTCTGTTGCAAACAGAATAGAATTGATTTGTGAAACACCCCACTGTTGTCTGCAGAGTTGGACAACTGGTGTCAGGACCGAAGAAAGCACTGTAGTTGTATTTATTCCTCTGTGGCTCCTGGGCCCAGTGCAACACTTGCCCCTGATGGTGTCAGTGACTGTACACTGGATGAACACTGAGAGATGCCTAGTGCTGTGCACATGGATCTCTGTCCACCTCTCTGCCTGTGGAGTGCTCACAGCAATCGCCATTCTGGATAACTTGGGTCCAACTCTCACTAGGACTTGGCTTTGAAGGGCAATTATGCTAATTGCTGCTCTGCTTCATTTGGCAGTGGGGACATCATCTCAAAGCCATTTTATGGCAAATAAAGTATCCTAGGCACCAACTGGAGAAGAAATGTTAATCTGATTGTAGTTTGGGCTTGAAAACAAATACAGTGTGAGAGTCCCTGAGAGATCCAATCCAGTGAACATGAAATAGGATGCCCAGATGAGGCTTAAAAATGAGGAGATGGGAGAGAAAGAGGTTAGATTTATTTATGGAAGATAATTGAGGCTTTGTTTCTTTAAAGGGTTAAAAGACAGACCATGTCAGTGGGCAATCATAAGTTGTCTAGTGTATATTCTCTCTTCGGCGCATGGAAGAAAATCTATTGTACCAAACATTGTGTGTGTGTGTGCACATGGGCATTTTGCAACATCATGAGCCTTTTCTAAGAAGTCCCTGGAGGATTTTTCTTTGGGTCCCTCTGTATTAGGGGAAGCTCTGAGCCTAGCGTTAAAGAGCAGGGACAAAGAAAAAGAAGAAGGGGTATGATTATCTACAGCTATCAGTAGAATTCCTTCTTCATGAAGACCGGAATTCTCTCATTAATGACTCCAGAAATGATGTTTGAACTCATTATTTTTTTAGTTGTTCAAGGACCTTTATTTTATTTATTTATTTTTATGTGGTGCTGAGAGTTGAACCCAGTGCCTCACACATGCTAGGCAAGCCCTCTAACACTGAGCCACAACTCCAGCCCTGAACTCATTATTTTTTAATTTAAAAATATTATGAAGTCATATAAAAGGCAGAAAGAACAATTTCTCTGTCCCCCGATTACGAAATAAAATTTGACTTTTAAGTAAAAGAAATTCTTCCTGTGTGTCCTTCCCCTTAGCCCCTTCCTCTCTGGAGTCCATGACAGAGGCCACAATCTTGAATTTGGGTTTACCATGCCTACGTCATTCTACAAAATTTTTTGCACAAATCCCCAAGTAATCTATAGTATGGTTTTGTTTCTAAATAGACTGTAACAACTTAAGGTGTTTAAATATGAATGTCATCCTTCTCTGCGTATTTTTCTACAACTTACTTTTTCTTATAAAAACAGACTGAATTTCACACTCATTCACACAAGTCACTTGCACTCATTAACTTTTGGTGTTTTTTTTTCTTGGTACTGGGGATTGAACTCAGCCACTGAGTCACATCCCAGCCTTATTTTGTATTTTATTTAGAGACAGGGTCTCACTGAGTTGCTTAGCACCTCACTTTTGCTGAGGCTGGCTTTGAACTCAAGATCTTCCTGCCTCAGCCTCCCGAGCCACTGGGATTACAGGCATGTGTCACCGTACCCATCGCATTCATTCACTTCTTTTTCCCCTTTCTGTACTGGGGAACCAAACCCAGGGCCTCTCCTAGTCTCCTATGCTAGATAAGTTCTCTACCACTGAGCTTCAGCACTTTTTTTTGAGACATGGTCTCATTAAGTTTCTCAGGCTGGCTTCAAACTTGTGATCCTCCTGCTTCAGCTTCCTAAGTAGCTGAGATTACAGGTGTGTATCTCCATACCTGTTGGTTCATTCTCTCTTATTATCTAATTGGATTTCATTGTACAAACATATTACAACCCATTCATTCTTGTGTTGTTTCCCATTTGTTAGTAGACAAGATCTGCTTCTGTGGGCATTCCAGCACATCTCCACTGTGTTTGTAGAATATTCATCTCTTCACGGAAATGGCACAGAGTACTCTTAAGGTTGTACGAATATGTCTACAACCTTACTGGACAAATAGCACTAAATTAGTCTCCACAATGGTTGTGCAGTGTACAAGTTCCTCTGGTTCCATATCCTGACCAAATATCATTTGGAGAGATTTCATTTCCAAAAATTCATAGTGCTTAATGGTGCTTAATTTGCATTGCTGATAATGAATGAGGTTGAGTAACTCTGCATTCACTAAGAAGCCATATCTAGAGTTTCCTATTTGGTGAGGAAAAGTTTGTTCATATTTCTGTGTGATTGCTTGTCTCTGTCATAATGGAATGGAATTATTAGGAATACTAATTTGCATACTTGGTTGGCCTGCTCCAGGTTCTCCTGTGGTCTAATCTCTCTGTCACACCTGTCCTATCCAAGATCAGCTCAATCAGTTGCTTTACATGCACTGAAACTTGATTAGGCAAAGTCTCTACCATATTTTTCTTAACAATTCTCTTCATTATTCTTGGCCCATAAAAATATTATGGCAGTTGGGATATTTATTAAAATAAATATTAAGGCTTCCTACCCATGCATATAACACATCACTCTATGTAGTCAGGACTTCTTTAATGAATTCCCAAAAAATACAGAATTTTTGTCATAAAAGTTTGAATAGATTTTGATATATTTATACATAATAACCTCATATCTTTTCTTAGTATTATAAAAAGGATTTTTAAATTTCATGTGTTGTTAATTGTAGACACACAAAAAATGCAACTTTAAAAGTTATTTTACTTAGAAATTTTTCTGTTTCTCTTATTAACGACAACGCCTTGAAGATTCTCTTTATTTCAGTCATTTCATTTGAGAATAATGAGAGTTTTGTATCTTCCATTCCAATTCCTATATTTGCACTTCTCTATCTTTTACTATGCATGTTAGGAATGCACAATGTTGAACAGAAGTGATGATGATAGGAATAATTTTTTTCCTGATTTTAAAAGAATGCTTCTAATATTTCACCATTAAGAATGGGTTTACTATAGTTCTTCAGTAGATACATTTTATCAGTTTAAATTCTCTTCTGTTCCTGCTTTACTAAAACTTTTTGTCCTACCTGGGTATTGAATTTTATGTAGTTTTTTTTTTGGGGGGGGGGTGCCTGATGTGTTGATAACTTTGTTTCTCCTTCAGCATGACATTTACTAACCTAATATTAAACCACCCTAGCATATTTGGAATAAACACAATTTGGTCATGTAATACTATTTTTTTTAAATCATTGGATTTTATTGCTGACATTTGACTTTGAATTTTAACTTTTAAGTTTGAGTTTGTTCTACAGATTTTTTTTCTCTGCTTCTCACCTGATTTTAGAATCGCTGCAAAACCCACTCTATGACATAAGTGACACTTGCTGTTCTCTGTGAATCAAATTTGAGATTGGATAGAAATCTCCCCTGGCAGTTGAGTAGGATACTCACTGTTAAAAGAATACGAATATTTCTGCTGTAGGAAAATTTTATTGGAACTTTGTAAGATTGTTCAGGTTTTTGTTATTCTTGAGTCAGTTTTGATAAAAGTGTTTTTTGTAATGATGTGTATTTTGTGGGGCAATTCTTGGCAAGATTTTACTCATAAGTTCTCCCTTATGATTTTTTGAAATCTCTAAAGTACATACAGGTAAGGATGTATAGCTACATACTACAGTGAAGACCTTTTTTTTTCTACAGCAGTTTATCAGTGATTTCTCCTTTTATTTTATTTTATTTCGAAGGGATTGAACCCAGGGCCTTGCACATGCTAGGCCACTGAAATCCATCCCCGGTCCTCTTTTTATATCTGTTTGGTGTTTTCAGAGATCATTTATTTAATTGCCAGGTCAGGGAGCAATATTTGGCATTGTTGGCTCTCCCTACTGTGTCAATTTTACTACCTCTGTTAACTTTAACTGTTCTCCTCCATTTACTGTTTGAGGGTTTAATTATACACCGTCTCCTGGCTTCATTGTATCCTGAGCTCATGACTTTCTGGCTTTCTTCTTTTCTAGTTAAATCTGTTCTCTAAGTTGTACAGCAGTTGCATGACACAAGTTTTGTTGCATCTTTATTTTTTTCTTGGTTCTTGGTACTTCAAAATACTTCCAATTTCCCATTATATTTTATTCAT